AAACCAGAGGATATTTGCAACTAAATAACAATGAAAATATCATGAATAAGAATTGGGATGTAGTGAAAGTAAAGATCCAAGGGAAATTTGTAGCTTTATAACATTTATATAGGAAAAGAAGAATGAATTAAAGATATAATCCAAGTTACTGTCTTAAGTATTTGGAAAAAGAAGATTAAATTAAAATGAAAAGAAAAAACAGTAAAAAAAATTAATTACATTTTAAAAAGACAGAAAATTAACAATCCAAAAGTTGGTACTTTGAAAAGACTAATAAATTTAATGGAACTCAGCAGAACTGATCAAGAAAAAATATTAAAAAAAACACACAAATTAGCAATGTCAGGAATGACAGAAGAAATATGACTATAAATGATACAGAAATTTAAAGGATAATAAAGGAATATTATGAACATTTGTGGGAAACTGACAGCTTATATGAAATAAATATGTTGAAAAATTCAGTTTACCAAAATTAACATAAAAATGAAAAAATGTAAAAGCTCTGTGTCTTTTAAAGAATTAAATTTGTAATTACAAATTTCCCCAGTAAGAAAACCTCAAGATGAGATGGATTGTCTGGTGAATTCTATCAAGTTTTATGGATAATGAATCTAGAAAAGTTATAAGAAAAGACAAGAGGAGGGAATACTTAGATACCTTCTAGCTCATTTAATGAGGTCAGCAGTACCCTAATAATAAAACCTGACAAAAATACTTGAAGAAAAGAAGAGACCAATGTCCTCCAGAATATAGAGCTAGATAACTTCTATGAACAAAATGTCAGTCAAGTCAAATCCAAGATTACATAAAATGGTCATACGTTACAACAAAGTGGGGATTTATACTGGGGATGCAAAAAGGGTTTAGGAATTACAAGATCAATTCAATCCACCAAATCATCAGAAAAGGAAGAAAGGTCACATAGTCATTTCAGTATGTGCAGGAAGAAATTCATTTGACAAAATTCAACACCTATTCATTATAAAGAACACTTAAACTTGGATCAGATAAAACTTCTTTAGTCTGAAAAAGCACCTACAAAAAGCCTAAAGTTAACATCACACTTATTGATAAAAGATTGAAAACTTTCCTTTTGAGGCCAGGAACAGGCAAATTTGTCTCTTCTCACCTTCTCACCTTCTATGTTATATGGCTCGGGTAGCCCAAATTAATACGATAGCAAAGAGAAAGACATAAAAGGCATAAAAATTGGAAAAGGTGAAATAAAATTCTTTATTCATTGACAAAGTGACAATTTACATAAAAATCCAGAGGAGCTTACAGAAAAATTACTAGGAGTAGTAAGGCAATTTGAATGATTGCAGGATATAAAGTAAAAATATCAGTGGTATTTCTGCATGATGGCAGCAAGTGATGAAATAGAAAATGTGAAATTTTAAATGTGGTTTATAATAGCATAAAAAGCAAAATATTTAAGAATAAGCTTTACAAATATGTGAAAACTCTATAGTGGAAAGCATAACGTGTTTAAAAAAAAGAGATCTAAGTAGAGAGTTACTGTGTTCATGTATTGGAGGACTCAACATTTTAAAAATAGTTATTTCTCTTCAAATTGAACTATAGACTTGATGCAATCTAATCAATATCTCAACAGGACTTTTTGATTTTCTCTTCACTTTTTCCTTCCTTCCTTCCTTTCTTCCTTCTTTCCTTCTTCCCTCCCTGCCTCCTTCCCTCCTCTCTTTCTTTCTTCCTTTCTTTCTTTCTTTCTTCCTTTCTTTCTTTCTTTCTTTCTTTCTTTCTTTCTTTCTTTCTTTCTTTCTTTCTTTCTTTCCCCTTTCCCTTTTCCCCTTTTTTAAATACAAATTTTCTAGTTCATTCTAAAATATAAATGGAAATATAAAGGATCTAAAGTAGCTAAAACAATCTTGAAAAGGATAACACAGTTGGAGGACTTACATTACCTGATTTCAAGACTATGTTGTTCAAGATAGTATGGTAGTGGTATAGAGATAATAAAACAGAGCAATAAAATAAAATAAGCAGTTCAGAAACAGATATGATCTATTACTTTTCACTAAGTGTCAAAGAGATTCAATTAGGGAAGGAAATATTTTTTCAATAAATTGTGCTGGAATAATTGCAATAAAAATGTGTAAAGAATGCATCTCAACCCCTACCTCAAACCATGCCCCAAAATTAATTCAATATCATCATAAATCCAAATGTAAGAACCAGAGCTTTAATGATTTCAAACTTGATGTTGGCAAATATTTCTTAGAGAGAACACAGAAAGCACTAACCATAAAAGAAAAAAAAATGACTAATTCATCAAAATAAAAACACTTATTTATCAAAAGAGATAGTTAAGGAGATAGACAAGCCACAGACTGAGTGACAAGATTCACTGTATATAAAATCTAACGAAAGTCTTATCTCCAAATTATATTTTAAAAACTCCCACAAACCAGGCAAACACAGCAAATGGGCAAACAATTCAAACAGACCCTTCAAAGGAAAATGAGATATATAGATGTCTAACAAACACAAAAATATCCGCACACCACTAATCACAAAGGTAATACAGATTAAAGCCACAGTGAGATCACAAAAAAGCGAAAACAGAGAAGACTAATAACATCAAATGTTGGTTAAGATTTGGGACAAATGGAGCTCTCATGCATCTCTGGTGGGAGTGGAAAATGGGACAAAGACTCTAAAGTATTTTTGAGCAGTCTGTTCTAAGGTTAAACATACACCTGCTCCATGACCCAGAAATCCACTCTTTGATATTATTCCAAGAGAAATGAATACATGTGACCACAAAAGACTTACAGAAATGTCTGTAACAGCTTTATTCATAATATGTAAAACCTGGAAACAACCCGAATGACCAATGAGAAAATAATAAAAATAAATATGGCAGTATATTAATTTAATGAAATACTACTGAAGAGTAAAAGAAAAAAGGCTGAACTTAAAACTACTTTTAAACTAAGCAACAGCGATGAGACTCAAAAATACCACATTGAATAAAAGAAGCTAGAAGCAGAAAAGCACACATTGCAGGACCACATTTAAATGAAGTTCAAGGGTAGGCAAAAACTCACATCCAGATAGAAAGTTACTGGTGAGGGAGAGTGATTAGGGACTGACCCTGTCTTGATGACAGAAAGAACTCCTTGTTTTCCACACTTAATGCATATTAATAGCTGAATGGAATATATGCCAAGTAGCTATTTTTGTAATTCCCAACATTTTAAAAAGTTGAGATATTACTGTGTTGCATTTTTTGATGTTGATTTTAATCTTGCAACTCTGTAAATACTTTATAACATACATATTCTTTAAAATAAATAGAACCACTGAAGAGTTTTAAATAAGATAGTTAGGAAATATTACTTTAAATGTGTCTCTTATATGCAAAATGCACATAATTAAAGACAATTAAGTACATGTTCAAGAACAGGTTGAGGTGATAGAGGTATACAGGAGATTACAGATCTCTCTAAACTGGAGAGTATCTTTAAAATTTAGGAGCAGGTCAAGAAGTTTCTCCAGATAAAAGATAAATAACATATAATGGACAAAATTTGATAAAATATGCAGATAATTAATGACACTAAAGGTAAAAAACAAAGATGATTTGAATTATAGAAGTCATTTTTTAAAAACAGCACCAGTTGCCCTAAAATGAAAATTAAGTAGGGCAAGCCACATTTAATATATTATATTAATAATTAATTTTTATTAGTATATTAATAATTAATAAATTATTATATATTTCAGTATACAAGAAATCGAGCAGTGAGAGTTTTTTGGGAAAAGTAGGCTAGGTAGTAACTCTAATATTTTTGTCTCCAGGATCTTGACCAATAAATTACTATCTAAGCCATTAAGTGAAACATTTGGAGTGTTAAGGTTTAATTACTATTTCTTGGGAAGATGCCTCAAAATTAACAGAGATTAGGAGGCTCTTAGCAAGGACTTCCCTTGAATAGATAACCGGAAAGGCAGTTACCTCTCTTGAAATAAATGTGATTCCATTTCTCATTTATTATGCTAAATACAATAATGCCTTTAACAAATGTGACATTAAGCCTTTAGCTGATCTAAGTGTACCTCTACCTGTTTTCTTGGTTCCTTTGAGAAACTGCAAGATCTTCATCATACATTAATTATCAATTTAAATCAGTCAATGCTAAAAGAAAATCTTTTGCTCTAATTATAAGCGACAGTTGCTGTAAACATTTGACGTGATGAATACCTTTCCTGATCTTGGGCAGGCTCTAATTTATTAAGCACACATACGAGGAAAAACCCGAGTGGAGTGCTTAATCAGCAGTGACCCACAATTAAAACAGGTGATATTTGCTAGGTTTAAGAATAAAAGCAATATGACTCCAATTAGCTGTCAAATCATCTGGAAACACAGCTGTTACATAAATAGAAAAATCACTCAGCCTTCCTGCTTACTTCTTCAATTTTTTTCTTTATTTTTAAGCCATTTAAAAAGATAGTCCCTTTATTCACATAACATTTAAAAACAGGGGAAACTAATTCACAGTGTTGGAAGTCATGAGGGTAATTAACTGTGGTGGGTGGGGATGGGGGAAGGTGGGGAGACGGGAAATCTTCAAAAGGGCATGGGGTTGTAGGGATCTACTGGGTTGCTTGTAACACTGTTTCTTAGCTGTGTCCTGTTTTACGGATGTGTTCACGTTGTGAAAATTCATTGAGCTGTGGACTTAACAACCTGTACATTTTTCTGAATGTTATACTTCAATACAATTTACACAAAAACATCAATTCTTCCCCAAACTATGTGGAATCACTTCAGCATGGTGTCAGAAATGAAAGGCTGTATGCTAGTGTCTATAAAAGATAATAATTTTCTTGAAAACTTTCCTCATCAATTCTAATCTCCAAGAAAATACAGCAGAATATTTTTAAAAATTTATAAAAGAGGGCTTTAAGCAAAATAGAGGCACAACATTAGCTTTTGATTACAGATTTAAAATTTAAAGGCTACCTACCAAAAAGGTGTATTCTCCTTCAATTTTGTATCAGATCACTCATTAGCGTTGCCAAGCAAAGACGCTGGTTGTCTTACAAACCTGGAGAAACAGTACAAATAGAAAAATTGCTATACTATATTTATTTTACTATCACTGTATACATCATACTATAATGTATGTACCTTCATAACTATAAAATGATAACTGATTCACGTAACCGTTCATGTTAACAAGCAATTGCTAAGTATCTTTGTATGTACCAGGAGGTACAGGAGAAATTAGTCAAAGAAGTACAAAAAAATGTGCCAAACTTGTGAATACCATTAAAGAGGAATAGATCAAATGTTATGGGAATCAGGAGGTTACTTCCAAGAGGGAGGATGGGTAAAGATTTCTGGAGGGGGTGGGGCTTCAGCTGACCCTCAAGAAAAAATCTGATTTCTTAAAGATGGTGGGCAGGAGCTGGAACAGAGAAAAAAGGTTGGGGAGGGCAATCCAGGTAAATGAGACAAAATGACCAAGTAGGGAGATTGAACATGATTGAAAAAGGGGGTGGGGAGCTGAATGCTTTCAGTTTCACTGGGGAACATTTTCAGAGGATTTGGAATCAGTGAAGTTCTGGGTCTAGAGGTTGTTACATGCAGTGACCGAGGCACTAGCTAGGCTCAGGGATTCGGCTGTGAATAAGAATGATGGGAGCCCAGGCCCTAGAAAGTTCCCCGCTCATCAGGACAAGCCAATACAAAAGATTATTACAGTGTGTAGTGTAGCTGTAGTGGGAGTTTGTAGCAGAGGAACCAATGAGGTCCAACAGACAGGGGTAAGCAGTTATGAATCTCAGAGAAGTGATCACAAAAATAATGGAGTTAGATGCGGTCACCCCCAAGAGTTAGAGTCTGAAGAGCGGGGGATAGGGACAGACTCGGTTACATTTACCAGAAAGGAAAAGGTAAGTGAGGAAGCAATCAGAGAGGAAGCAGGAGGCTCACAGGAGTCTGGCATCAGGAAAGACGAGGGAGAAAAATGTAATGGAGGACACTCTGCTCAAGAACAGAGTGCTTTGAAATTCAGTCTGGACTAATGCTAAAAAGTGGTTTATTTCCTTTGTTTGTTGACTTGGTAAGGTGCAAGGTATTTACGGTTGATGACAAAAATTGTGGGGCGATGGAAGCTGACCTGCTATTTGGCCATTGTGCACAAACATCAGCACCAATTTTTATAGCGAATATCTTGATTTGTGCCTGAGCCACACCAGTTGTTAAAAATTTGCAAATCACCTTGCACGAGGGCATGATCTGCTCTGGTAGGTAGTTATTTCTATGAAATGGCACTCTGACATTTTCTTAGCACATCAAGGATCTCTGCAAATGATTACATTCATTACATACATAGATAAGGGTCCCTGAAGGTGGCTGAGGTATTTTTTCCTCCCCCAGCACGATGACTCTTCCCCACAACTTGGATATGTGTGGACATGGAACCCCAGAGACAACCACAAAGCGATGAGTTCCTCTTTATTGAGCATATTAGTACTAAGTGTTTTATGAGCATTAATTAATTAATTTTTTATTTATTCATTTGACAGAGAGAGTACAAGCAGGGGGAGCAGTAGGCAGAGGAGGAGGGAGAAGCAGACTCCCCACTGAGCAGGGAGCTCAATGCGGGGCTCGATCCCTGGACCCTGAGATCATGACCTGAGCAGAAGGCAGAAGCTTAACCCACTGAACCACCCAAGCACCCCACTGATTAGTTCATTTAATCTCCATAACAACCTTATAAAGCAAGAACTATTTTTTATCCAAATATTACAGAAGAGGTAACTGAACATGAGAAGACTTAGGTAATTTGCCAAAGGTCACTCTTCCCAAAGCCAACGCTGATCAGTGCTTTTTCTCCTGGTCAGAGTTGGAACTACTGTTCACTAATTCTCTTGATTTCTACATAATTCTCCAATTGAGACCCAAGTCCCATACTAGGGTGCCATGCTGGGGCATGTTGGCACACTCTGAGCTGGAACATATAAGACGCAGATTCCTGTTACATTTCCTTATAGTCTCTATCTTGATGAAAAATTGGTTTTTTATGCTGTGGAACACTCAGGTCCGTGGCTTATGCTTCACAGTTTAAGTAACTGATGCTCTGTTTCTTCAGTTCCTGGCTATCAGATGTCCCACTAAGACCCTGGGATGGTGAAGTAGGTTGTACATAGTGCCATGGCAGAAGGTGGGGGTGGGGACAAGCCAATTCCCAAATTAGGTCTAGGGATTCATTGGTCATTTGTGACTCTAAAGACTGCAATTATAGGAGAACTGTGATTACACAAACTGCTGTTTGCTTTCTGTGGTCAAACCTTTGGGTTTTACAAATCCATACAAGTAGCTTGGCACTGGAGGATCTCTTTCTGCTTCCTACGTGACTACCAGAAATGGCTGGGAGAGGAAGCTCTTGGTTCCACTGCATTTTGGAGAAGCTGTGGGTGCCTCAGTTTGGATTTCTAACTGAAGAAACTTAATGTGTTTCCACATGAAAATGTGTGGGCCTTGTTCTAAAGCCGTGCTGATTACTCTTTTCTAGTTATCTTATTGGCTCTGTACATTTTATCATCTGGCACAAGAACCCAGTCATATCATCTAAGATTATTTCTCTGAGAAAATTCCATGGTTCTTATTTATTTGTTCGTTAAAGAAATACTTCTTGCACATCAGCTATGTCCCTGGCACTGTATCAGACAAATACTGTTTATACGATGCTGAGCAAAAACAAGTATGGTGACTGGCCTAACCAAAATTCTAAATGCGCCAGCTGCAAAGACACTTTCCAATCCCATGAGTATTCTAGCCGACCATTGACTATTTTTCTCCACACCCGACCTTCTGTTACTGGAGAACAATCACACGGACAACAGTGGGTAGCAGAGAAGGAAATGAACTCATGAGAACATGGCACATGTTTTGTGTCAGGCATGGGTAGATGTTTGCGTACATGACATGTACTTCATCCCCACAACAGTTCTGTGAAGCTGCTGATGCTTTCCCAGTTTTGAAACCTAACTTGGTTGAGTCTGAGGAATAGGCTTTCTGCCCAAGACCATGATGGCTATTGTTTGCCACGTTGTACCTATCTTACTGTGTCCCTTAGTCAGTCGCACTGTCTGTAACTTGTGTCACTTTCCTGGTTCATTGAGATTCCTTTATTATGCCCAAAGGGTATCACTGGCTCTTTACACTTGGTGGCCGTATAGACAGATAGTCAGAGATACTTGCCAACTATGTTTGAAGGAGATTTTACTATTTGTGGTTGCTACAACTTCTGGAAAATACAAATATATATATTGTAATATTGACGATGGTTACCACTGAATTTTTCAACATGTTATTTTCATTTATTCAAACATCATACTAAGCATTATCAGTTAAGATGCCTATGAATATCAAGGTAAACATGATGGCTTTTGGTTGTAGTTGTTTAACTTTGATATACTGAGAATATCAATACTTCATTGCTTATAATTATATAATTTTAGAGAATATATACAGTCCCAGCACTTAATATCACTGCTGAACCATAGTTCTCTCTCCTAAAAAGCAGCCTCTTCATCAGGCTGATCTTGAACATTATGCAATGATTCAGGATTTAATCTTCCTGGAGTTCACAGGTCAGCATAATTCATTTAAAAGTAATCATTCCTAAAGTTATCAATTGCAAATATGTAGCTTCGGTGAGTTCTCATTGTCTTAAAATTATAGGATCTTTGTTAAGGGTAATGATAGGCCAAAAGACAACCCAGGGAAGCATCTATAAAATAAATAACTCAAGAGTGGGACAGTTGGTGTTATTATTCCATCATACAAATTATGAATTAGATGGACATACACCTGATCACCATAGAGTTAATGATGAGGATGTTAGGAACTTCTAGATTGACTGTGACGTGGGTGACTTATCCAGAGTTTATAGTTAACAGCCTCGATTTCTTGAAAATTACAGAAGATAGAAATAGCATGTTAATTTATGGGGAGTAATTACTGACGGGTGCTACTGAGGTTAGCCATGTAATCAAGATTATGGTTTCCAAATATCAAGTGAATTAAAATAATCATTTACTATTAATTTTACTCTTGCAAAAACTATTTTTGGCTTTTGGTTATTTTAAATGCCTCACAAATATTTAGAAGATCACCAAGATCTAGGGATTTTAAAAAGTGGATATAACACATATAACTTAGAGCAATACATACCCTGTGCAGATTTATAAACAGTGGAAACCAAACTGATTATTTTAAATGGCCTTGAATTTATGAATTTCTATGTTAATGATTTAATTTTTCTACATGTTGAGGTTTTTTCCATCAAGTCTCCTTAAATATCTATTTGGGAAGATTCTGATAAGAATCATAATACAAACAGAAGAAGAATGAAGTAAGCAGATTTCTAAAGCTCTACAAACCTAGGGACATGTATCATATCTGAAGATCACAGGAAAAAAGTGTCTATGATGAAAATAGACAGAGTGGAAAGAAATGGTTATTTCTGTCAGTGCTAAAAAGCTTAGAGAGTCACTGATTAAGGTCACTGCCAATTTTATCAATGAGGAAAGTGCTTTAGCAAGGCTTCAACCCCTTATTTTTACCATCTTCAGTGTAAGCATGTGGATGACGTTTCTGTCAGGGTGTCCAAGATCAAACACAAACAGCATTCAGGGTCAACTAAACTAGAATTTTTATCAGAACGTCTAGACTGTCTAAAACCTACTCCAAATAATGCATTTTATGTCTTCCTGACCCCTTGTCTCCTTCAAAGCCATCATCATGAGGAACAACAAAAATAGAGAAGGAAGGAATGAAGGAAGGAAGGAAGGAAGGAAGGAAGGAAGGAAGGAAGGAAAGAAGGATGGAAAAAAGAACTAATAACCATATTAACATTTGTCCTTGGCTTCTCTGGAAATAAAATCTATAAAGTTCAAGACAAATCTTTCCTTTAAACGTTTATCAATAGAATAAAACAACCACTGACAACAGTAAGTAAGATCGAAATCCCAAGCTCCAAGCTGATGTCCAAATAACACATTGCTCATCAATGACCAACACAGCCTACCCTAT